TGCATATTTCCATGGTTAACAACTGATGGCATTTTTTTACTCTTTGATTTTGTGCATTTAATAAAGTGTATACGAAACAATTGGATAACTGAAAAGTCTGGTGAAATTGAGTTTAGTTATAGAGGAAAAAAATATAATGCTAAATGGGATCACATCAAAAAGCTTCAAAAGTTAGAAGAAGGTGAATTGGTTAAAATGTCTAAGTTGACTTATGTTGCTGTTAACCCAAGGCCAATTGAGAGACAAAAAGTTGATACATGTTTAAAAGTTTTTTGTGAAGAGACTATAAATGCATTAAAGTGTCATCAAGGTATGAAAGATGATGATATTGATGGAACTATTATTTTTTTAACTAAGGTGGTTCAATTTTGGAAAATAGTCAACGTTAAAAGTCCATCCGAAGAAATCCATTTGAAAGACAACTTACGAGCTCCCATATCATATGTTGATGATTTACGATTAAATGATTTAATTGAGTTTTCTGAAATGTTAAAGCCAACATTGATTCAAGGAAAAAGAATTAGAAGTATAACTATGGATACAAGCAATGCATTATATCAAACTTGTAATGGTTTAGTTGAACTAAGTAAGCATTTGTTAGACAATTCTCAAATGTATGTACTGCTTGGGAATTTTACAACAGACCCCATAGAAAGAGCATTTGGAAAACTCAGACAAGGTAGTGGGGGAACTTATTTTATAAATACTCAACAAGTAATTGAAAAGTGGAATATCAACAAAACCAAACTATTTCTTCAGAAAACTATCAACATTTCAAGTGCTGAGTTTACATCTGGTCATATTTGTGATAATTGTTTTTATAAACTTTCAGAAGATGAGTGTGAGATGTTTAATCATTTACATGAACTTTTAGACCAACTTTCATCGAATATTAAGTCATCTTTAGTTTACATTGCAGGTTATATTTCTAGAAAAGACAATGAAGATGATAACGATGACACTTATCTGTATTATAGTAATTATGGAAATTTTACATCTGCCTTAGATCGTGGTGGTCTGAAAATACCCAGTGATACATTTTGTGAATGGGTATTCTTAAGTTACATTTTGTTTAATTTTGTTGGCACATCAAACTTTTGTAGATATTCTATGTCCTGCTTATTCATGGATATTGCATGTATTTATGGTTTCACCATAATTACAAGAAACCATTGTTATATTCTTACAAATATATTATTTAACAATTTTTGCTATATGCATTCACCTGCATCAGACAAGGAAACCAAAGTTAAAGCTTTAAAACTGTTTTGTTAGCTTTTGTGAATAAATATACCATAAAAAGTTTCCAATTTAACTTTAGATGATATTTCGTTTAAAAATTGTTAATTTATATTTTTACTTTTTAATTCTTTCTGTTAATGTTTCATTGTATGCAAATACATAGAAGTAGCTTGGTTATTTTTTGTTATTGTTATTTTTGAACTTACAAGGTGTGTTTTTTTTTTTACTTTCTTGACAAAATAACAATTATTTTTGTTTTATAAACGTTTTTGTAATAAAAATATCGACTTCTTTATAAAATGATAAAATATTATTTAGTAAAAAATGGCATGGTTTAAGCCTTACATTCTTCTTATCCTTAGTTTTTTATTTAATCAGGTTATGCATTTAGAGAAATAGACTAAAATAATCAAATCACAAGCTCCTACTATATTGTTAAAAGAATTTTTAAATATTTAAAACTTAAAAAAAAAATTGTTTAATAGTTGAGAGCATCAAAACCAAATCAGCCTCCACATTTTTCAAGCCGTTGCGCGATGAGAAGGCCTGTTATTTAAGTACGCCTTGATGAAGAACAATTGCATCACTTGCTCCAAAACGCAGGAATTTTGTATATATATATATATATATATATATATATATATATATATATATATATATATATATATATATATATATATATATATATATATATATATATATATATATATACACATATATATTTATATATATATATACATACATATATATATATATATACATACATATATATATATATATATACATACATATATATATATATATATATATATATATATATATATATATATATATATATATATATATATATATATATATATATATATATATATATATATATATATAAATATATATATACATATATATATATATATATATATATATATATGTATATATATATATATATACATATATATATATATATATATATATATATATATATATATATATATATATATATATATATATATATATATATATATATATATATATATATACACTTATTTTCATATATATATATTTTCATTTAAAAATTAATTCCAATTTTTTATTTAAAATACATTCTTAGTTCGCATATCTTATTATTTCAAATTAAGACAATATATTATATACCACATTATACCACATTTTTTGATAAACATTATCCAATTATTGGCCAATTGTTTTTAAGTTAAAAATTAAAATTTTCTGGAATTTTTCCATGGATTTCTTTTTTGTTTAACAAAGCGTTGTTGTGACCTTTAATAATTCTTCCAACATTTTTTGTGCAATTGCTAACTTTAACAGTATTTCAATTAAAAATTCTAAGTAATTTGTTAGAGCGCTTTTTCTATGCTAATGGAAAATATTTTGTTATATTTGGGTGTGTTGATAACAAAAGTTTAGTCTAATTCTGAATATTTTGGTGCGCCTACCTGTAAATGAATAAAAAATTATAAAAATAATAATAAGATGCATGGGGAACCGTACCATTTTTTCCTTGAAGTTTTACCATTATCGTTCTAAAGTCATTAATACCGAAAGTTGTATTAGCAAATAAAAAAAAATAAGTATATAATATTTTTTAAGGGGAATCACTTTCTACAAAAATGTCAGCATAATTCTTTTTCGAATCAAACTACAGCATAAAACTGCGAGAGTGAACTCGAGTTTTATGAAACCGTTTCTAGCGTCAAATCCGTAAACTGCACGCAAAACTTTCATCACAAGTTTCACACAGCGTTCAACACATTGTATGTGATTAGAATATTTAACAGAAAGTGGCATTTTTTTGTAGCCAATTTCTTAATATGATATGCTCATAGTGACATGTGGCTCAGATGATTTAATATAAATAATCAGTTCCATCTAGTCATTTAAAATGCGGTAGTGGTGTAGTGGTAGAGCGTTCGCCTCATAAGCGAGAAGGTCTAAGTTCGATCCCCATCATGTCCCTGATAGTACCACGCTCATCTTGTTTCTCTGCGCAGCGGACTTAAATTATTACTTATGACATTGTATTTGAATGAATTTTTAAATTCATGCATATTTCATGTGTCATAGGAGATGGAATACACGAAAATCAGGGTTTTTTGCATTTCTAAGAGGTTTCTATCAAGCGGAGGAAAAATTGGAATTTTTTTTGCACTAATATTTATTATAAATAATACTAATTTGCAAAAAACTACGGTAGTTAAAATACAGATCTAAAATATTTTCAAAAAACGCCACCAGTAACGTCTTGGTTGAGGAAAATTATGTTTGAAATAAATAATTGTTTCACATTTAATATGCTCAAATTAAGTTTTATCAAAATGCACTCAAAATTAAAAATATACACTCAGAAAGAACTGCTCTTTATAAATACATTCAAAAAGCTCAGCATATATTTTAGAACATATATCCTTAGTCTTTGAACGCATAACAGTCAAAAAAAATAGTAAAAAAAACAACAAAAAACAGGTGCAGTTTTCAGTTTTTTTTTGTGGTTAAATCTCTTATCAAACTACTTGAGAAAATATGAAGTAAAAATAAATTCAACTGACCTTTAAGGTCAGAGGAATTAGCACAAAAACAATATACAACAATTTTTAATTTTCAAGCATGTGCAATTTATAACTTTTTTATATATAAAAAAAAATGTTTTTTTTTTTTAAATTTTTTATTGCTTATCATCACATATGTATTATTCAATTTCGACAATGTATCAGTACATTGTATAGACATGTTACATTTAATTTAGACACCGTTGTTAATGATGGTTGTGGAATAACTTCTATGAATGATTCTTTAATGATGAAATAGACTTTAGTCTTAAGCTGAAGAGTGGACAGTGTTCAAATGTACGGTCAAGAAATATCTACGTCTGAACTAAAATATTGAAACAATTTATTATAAGGTGTTCAACTAAAACTGGGGGAGAACAACTTAAAAATATTCAAAATGGTGTACTGAACATTATCTAGCACAAATTGCAATAATTATTTTGGGCATATGCTTAAGTTTGCAATAGAAAGAAGATAACTAATTATTGATGAATAAACTTGCATTTTTATTTGTTATTTTTTATTAAGAAATTATTTGCAACTACGCTATTTTACACCTTATAATTTTTTGTTTAAACTTTAGTTTTTAAAAAACTAAAATTTATATAATCTTAATAAATTTAGAAATAAAATTATTATCTTTTATTAATTGAAGTATTCTCAGCGTTGCCGAAATTGAACGCAACACTGTCCATATATACAGATAAAATATCAATATTAAATAAAACAATGTCGAAATGAGATGGAAAACCCTGTAAATAAAATACTACAACAAAAATATATAAATATAACAATCGAACTTAATATATAAATTTAATAGGCGAATATAATATATAATTACAATCAGTCAATGATTATATATATCTCATAATCAAATCTATATTATAATGTTAGAATGCAAATATTTATTGTATCAAGTTTCAATATGTAATTAGACCATCATATTAAATTTTAAATTTCTAGATAACAAATGCAAACTTATCAAAGCGTGACTATATTTTCTAGTTATTTTGTCTTTAGATTTGAAATGTCTTTATATTTGTACACAGTGTATAAGCCAAAAAACTATTTTTAAAAATTGCTTTTAATTTCAATAAATGAATAACATTTATAAGTTTTAAATCGTTTACGTTCGTTTTCAAAGCAAAATTGTATAATAAATTTCATTGATGAAAACTTTTATACTAATTTCAGATAAGTTCGCCAATCTACGAATATGAAGCTCTTCCTGCTGAACAGTTTTCGTCAAATGTTTATTCTTCAAATCCATCTTACGCCCGTCTTTATCAGATTTCTGATTGGTTTGGAAGCCCAACTCCAACAACTAATGAATATCTTCAAATAGATTTAGGAGTTGTGAGTTTTATAAAAATGATAGCTACGCAGGGAAAATCAAACGCACCATTACAAATGGTAGTATTGTCTTACAACGTTGATTACGGCGTCAACTTGGAAGATCTTAAAGCTAATTATGACGCAAATAAAACCTTTTTTTTTAATGTTCCTTCTAGTGTTGGAAGCAACGATGTAGTATACAACTTTTTTGGTTATGATGGAATCTTTGCACAAATAGTTAGAATTACACCTGTTTCATTTAAAGTTAAAAAATCTTTAAGAATTGAGCTATTTGGAAATAAAACTCTGAATGAATGCAATTTTACGAGCCTTAACGGTTGCGATAAAAATAATGCAATATGTACAGATACCGCTGCTGCTTACACCTGTACTTGCAATAAAGGATCAATAGATATAAACAATAACGGATTCACTTGCCAATTGATAAATGAATGTTCAGAAACCGGTATTTATAAAAATCAATGCGATCCTAACGCCAAATGTACTGATACACGTTTTGGATACAATTGTACATGCATGCAAGGTATAAATTTTAATTTATTATAACCTATTTGTTTATTTTTTTATAAAAAAAAAAAACTTAGGTTTTTTATTTGTAAAACTTAATTCAAATTTTGCAAACGCAATTATTTTTGTACCAACTTTTTTGAAAATTTAAAAGCTTTTTTGCGAACGTGATCTGGTTATTTACAGCATTTTAAACAAGACTTTATACAAAGTACATGACTTCTTTAATTTGAGGATTTTTAGATATAAAATTGTTATTTTTATGCACATAAAAAAAAAGGAAAAGGTAATTTTGAATATTTTTTTAATACCAACTAAAAGTTATTAGAGTTTGGGTAGCAACCATAGCAACCATATAATAGCAACCATAAAATAGCAACCAAAGAAAGCAACTATTGCTAGGAAACATCAGATTTATCAACCAGAAATTTTTTATATAACATAGTAAGTGCTTTAGTTATAAGGCTTGTCATTATTCTAATTATTTTATTCGGTTAACCGAGAAATCGTATACAACATAAACTGTTTTGCTTTTGTTAAATTTTGCCCGTCAGCAATGACGGTTTTGCTATGAGACCATGAGGAAACTAAAACTATAAGAGAAAACAATTTTAAATTACAATTATCAATTTAGAATTTATTTATGAGGAATTACATTTTAAATAAACACAAAACTTCTTCATAATGTTTTCGTATGTGAAACGTTCTTAAATAAAGTCACTAATTATTTCTAAAGTTTGTTTACAATAAACACATTTCATTTAAATTATCAAAGAATGTTATATACAATTTTATTTTATTTATATAAGTATTTATTTTATATATATATATATATATATATATATATATATATATATATATATATATATATATATATATTTATATATATATATATATATATATATATATATATATATATATATATATATATATATATATATATATATATATATAAATATATATATATATATATATATATATATATATATATATATATATATATATATATATATATATATATATATATATATATATATATATATATATATATATATATATATATATAATATACATATATATATATTTATATATAATAAATATATATATATTTATATATAATAAATATATATATATTTATATATAATAAATATATATATATTTATATATAATAAATATATATATATTTATATATAATAAATATATATATTTATGTATAATAAATATATATATTTATGTATAATAAATATATATATTTATATATAATAAATATATATATTCATATTTAATAAATATAAAAAAAAAAAAAAAAAAAATTATATAAAACATTCTTTGATAATTATAATAATAGGGTGACCATTGTCTGGGTTTTACGTAGGAAATCGCAGCGTTTAAATAATTTAAATTAGTTTAACGCTGCGCTCTCCTGCGTAAAACCGGGACAACGGTCACCCTGTATATAATAAATTAAACTCTTTCTATGATTTATTTTATTAACTTGACTTTTAACAACGATTGGATTATATGAATGTAAGCAATAATAACGAAAGCGGAAAACATTGGCGCGAAAACTTAAGTTATGTAATTTAACTCAAATCAATTAATTGTGTTTAATTCTTTAAAATCCAGGGCCGACGACACGGGTTTTGAAGTGGGGACACAATTGTCAATTTCTAAAAAAAGTTCTCTATATCTAGAATTTTACTACAAAAAAAAAAAAAAAAAAAGTCCTTTGGAAAAAATATGTGTTTGAGGGGGAGGGGGTGTTCACTTAACCCTGGCCCTCCACCAACCCCACCCCTATTTAATTTTGATTAAAAAAGTGTTTTTAAAAACTAAAAAGTCAAAAGTCAAAAATTTGGTTTTTATTATTCGAATATATTGGTATTCGAACAAAATCCGGTTAACTGCCAATCCGGTTAGCCGAAGAAATCACTAATATTTGCTCATTTAATACTCTATAAATCTATCCATAAGTTGTAAATATTCGCAGTTCATAAAACAAAGCACTTTGTGGACCTTGGGCATTAAGTAAAGAAGACTGCTTATTTATTAAAAAAATTTTTAACTAGTTTTTCTTATATAAGTTTTTTTTTCTTATTAAAGTTTTTTGAATGCAAAAAAAGAACTTAATCATCATTGGCTAAAATTTCTGCTGTGCTTTATATTTTAATATGTAAACACCAATGAATTATTCAAAGAAATCTTATAGTATTACAATATTCCCCTAAAAATTTGCTACTTGAGATGAGGACAAATTTGCCCTAGTCCATTAAAATTGATTTTTTTGCCAAGATGTTTAACAAACAATTCGTTCTTTTTATAGATCAGTCTGATTACTAGTTCTTAACAGCATGTAATTCAAATTTTTGCAGTAGTTATACTTTTAACCTGAACCGTACATTTGAATAGTAAAATTTACGTTAGAAATTATTTAATATATAGGAGGAGGAGTGGCCATCTACACAAACGAAAGCCTCGATTGTTCTTTCACCTAAATTGACTAACTCAACCGCACCACCATTGAGCAAGTCTGGATCAAATTAAAATTTCACAACGAATCAATTTTACAAGGCTGTCTCTACCGTCCTCACGACCTAAACGATTTAATGCTCTTAATGATTTAAAATTCCTTAATAAATGCGTGCGTAAAAGCGCTTATTTGCGTAAACTGCGTTTCTGTTAACGTAAGACATCGCGTCAAATGCGTTTAAGTTTGCGTGTAACTTTTTATTTTGGAACGCAAACGCAAACGCAGGTTTTTTGCGATCCAATGCATGACTATAATAAAATATCAAAAGTAACTATCTATATAAATTTAAAAAAGATATGTTTCTTTTATTTACAGCATTCTTTATGTCTACATGATTTTTTAAATTTTATTTACTTCATTTAATGAGGCTACCAAGGAGATGGGTATTATTGTGAAGACATTGATGAATGCTTACTTCCTTCTATACAGAATAAACCAATATGTACAAATGGCGCATATTGTAAAAACACAATTGGTGGATACAAGTGCTTTTGTAACGTTGGGTATTTAGGTTGAAAAACAATTTTATAACTTTATTTTTTAATTTTTACATATTTATCCAATAAATTATTTGTATTAACAATTTAATTAATACAAAATAATTAGAATATAACTATTAAGGTTTATGCGACACTTAAATAAAATTTTATGTTAGGAGATGGAACAAAGTGTACAAATATTAACGAATGTAGACCAGGCGCAGCAAATAATTGTCATCAGTATGCTGAGTGTCGTGATAATGTTGGTTCATACTCTTGCACATGTCAACCTGGATTTATAGGTTTATAATATTTTTTTATATTTTTAATCTTTTACTGTAAGTGTTGTTTAAGATAAATTAAATTACCAATAACTAAAATCCCTCTTTCTTTCTTGTCTCTCCTTATTTTCTATGTATAATGTATATAATAGATATAATTTATACTAGATATAAAAATATGTATCTGAAAAAACACAATAAAATACATCTATTAACAAATGTCTCTCCTTATGGTTGCTATGGTCTTGAAACTTAAAAGCCTTTATCTAAAATGGTAAATTTTGCTTGAATCAAAACCTTTTTTAAATCAAACTAAGTTTCTATAAAAAAGACAAAATTAGGGCTTTTGAAATTTTCAAAGAACTTCAATTAATGTCTATTCTTTCCCGTGTTAATACCTTAAGTTAAGGCTCAACGTAAATAAAAAGTTTATACATCCTCTTTTGAATTAAGCAACTTTTGTTTATTGATATGATTTTGTTATTTAATCTCAAACATTGATTGTAAACTTATATTTATCTTTAAAAATTTAAATTTAAGTTAAATATCGGCTTTATTTCAATATCCAAATTTGACTATAAAGATGTTCTTAATTAAAAAATAAAACCTTATTAAAAAAAAGTTCTTTCTGTAAAACCAAAATCTTTCAAGGTTGGTTTGGGATTTTTGTTTTCCTTTTTTTTGAGGTATTTATTATTAGTTATTTACTATATACTGCTCGGTAAAAGTTTCCTGTCATTTTAAATTTAATAGTTTTTTACTTATAATAATTAATATTAAATTTTAAAATTCTTTAAAAGTCATAAAATAATTCAATTAAAATGTACTTGTGTGTTTTTGAAATGAATAATGCAAAATATATGCTTTCTTCATTTTTGTATTAAAAACATGCTAGTACGCAAAATTTGTATTTTTTGAAAAAATTCAACTTCGTTGGTTTTTTTACCCAGGCCACGCAAATTTAGGGGCCTGGGTAAAACTTTTCACTTTTGTGAAAGATTCAATAAAAAAATTTATGAAAGACGTTTTCCCACATGATTTGCAGTGATGATGAACCAAAGATTTTATAGGATATTATCGGAGCTTTCTTAATTCTCTAAATTGAGAAACAGTTCATTAACCAAAACTGACACGATCCTGGCCCATGGTTAAACGGAGAGAGTTTTTACTACCTTTAGTTTACTAAACGATTGTTCACCTTTAGCAACTGACACAAGAACAGTGTTAAAAATCCGTAGCACGATGTAAATGTACAGAAAAAGGCGTTCAAACTTCTTCTTGAATATTTGATTATATAGCTGCAGTGGTTTTTTTTGCTTGAAAATTTTTTTACTTTTTCAATGTTATCTTCTTTATTCACATATCTCAGATAAAACTGTGCAAGTTTGCAAGCTTTATTTTGAACAGAAAGATCATTATTATCCAACCAGATGAATGAAAGAATATTACCAAACACCCTGCTCGCCAATTCTCAAATCAATCTGCTGAACCAGACTATCTAAACCAATATTCAAAACATTCACTTCAAATTCTTTCGTTTGACTGTCGTGAAAATGGGCTGTCTTTGAGTCTAGTTGTAAAAGCACTTCAGTTTACGCTTTCTTTTAGTAGCGAGTTTAGTTTCGAATCCTGGCGGTCCAGCTACAGCTTATAGAAAATTTGCAACCAGAAGCCCCTAATCTGTTTAAGATCTTCCTGCAGCTTTCCAATTAAACGTACCTCGTCATCAATGGTAATTGCTTCTGATTGTAGAGAACGACGAACGTCGTTAACACCAGTAAGGATTTTGTACCAAATCGTAATTAGCAATATAAATTCAAAATGCGATAACCAATTTTTAAAAGTTCCTGCTTGGCTGAGCTGCTTACTTGGTCAGATCCAGTTTTTCCAGTGCATATTTAAGAGCTGCAAACATTTTTCTCTTGGAAAAATGTTTTGATTACGTCAGTACAAGAGCTCCATCACGTCATATAAAGTCTATGCAGTGAAATTACTGTAGCTTTAGTGAAGATCTTCCGTCGGGCAGGACTTGTATTAACAGATACGTACAAAGGTTCAACATTTCCAAAAAACACTTTGATCTCAATGACTGATTCAACTGCGCGTAATTAAGTCTGTGAGCGTTACAGGGAACGTACAGAGCTCCCTTCAAAGGACCTAACAAATTTGGTTCATTATCGTATCCCTGACCGCAACAGTTTCGAATACCCAAACATAGCCTTGCCCTCCATCAGTGATAAGTCTGGCTATATCAACTCCATTCTTTTTCTCAAATACTTTAGCAAAAAAGAAACTTTCTTTGATTTGTCAGCAATTAGTTTCTATTTCATAGAGGTTAAAACAAATAACAAAGTTTATTTGTTTACTGTAAGATGTATTGGGGGTATCATCAACAATGTATCATTAATCCAACTCATTGCACCAAAAGTTCTACATTAATTTAAAAAAAAGTAGATACAATCCTGGATTTCTTCGACAGCTGCACTTCAGATAACACCACCACCTTTACATTTTGAGACAACGTAGAGAGGTAATGGGCCCTCAGTCTGGAGCCCTTTTGTTAATAACGTCTTGCATCTTCAAAATGGGATAAAATGACAGGATTGTGACAACCAATAAACTCCATACCGGTGCAATGGGCTGAATTAATGCTAATTCACACAACCTATAAGTTTTTTTTAACGTTCCTTATCTTTTTCGTTCCTTAGAACAATCTTTCATGCCCAAGAGAGAGAGCATAGGAAACAGTAAAGAAGCTTGATGATTCCAAACCAAATATTTTGTTTCTTCTTTCTCCTTATTAGACAAAGATTAACAAAACAAATTCAAAGAAAAGATTCTTAGAACCACGCAGATAATCTCGCATTTTCAAATAATGTGAAGGGTCCCTTTAAAATGATTACTTCTAGAGCTTTTTGACTTAAGACAACTGGCCACAAAGAGTCAGTATGAATTATTACCAAATCAGGTTGAGCATTTCATTATCTGCTATTGGATAAAGTTCCTCATTCTGACTCTGAGTCAATTTAAAATTCATTTAGCTTAGTTTTAGTTAAATTGTTTGAGGCTCCCACTGTACCATAGTTCTTCGAATCACACATATTGAGTGCAGAGATTGATCTTGAAGCAAGAGCTCATAGGTTTTTTTGTCCCTCATAAACTGACTGGGAGTCTTAATAGAAAATCTTTAAGAAAAAAATAATAATAACAACCAAGATATTAACAAGATAATAACAACCAAGAATATAATAGCAGAGGTTATAATATTGTATTTCCTCATTTATAGAGATCGGAAGTTTTACTCAAAAAACACAATTTTTTTTGTAGAATAATTGGATACAAGAATATAAATTAGTTGCATTTTACTCATGGTTTTGGCGTTTGAGTGTTTGCAACAGTCACTGCTTCATAAGCATTTTTTTTTTATTCAAAAACTATTCTATTGCCTTCTTTTTTAATGTTAAAGATACTAATTAAAGAATTTTATTTCCAGCGAATTTGATCTATTAAAAACATTAAATTACGCCCGCAATCAACTGTTACATAAATTCCCAAGAGACACTCCATTGTAAACAAAATATTAGCTTGTTTTTTTTCCCGCCAACTTGGCAACCGCAAAAATAACTATTTGAAACAAAAATTATAATATTTTTCAAATTTATTTAGGTACAAGAAGTCCTGACGGTCATATCACAGATCACCTTATTCCTAACCGATCTCGCAAAACTTGCCCAGAGATGACTTTGAGCTACCAATCTCATGTTTCTTGGGCGAGGGTGCAATCAATGTTTAAAAAGAAAAAAATACAAAATTTTCAAAATCTTTTTTAAATTATCAATACTTTAACCTTTAACTATTAACATCAACACTTATCCTAACCGTAAACCAAAAGCCTCACTTCAGCAATTTTCACTAACCTTGGAACTCTTGGTTCTAAACCAGAGCTCTAATAATTGCGCCACGGGTACATAATTCTCGGTGCAATCGAGGTAGCATAGCCAACTGTTCACGGGCTTACGGAATGCGTCCGCTTCTGTCTAATTCAATACAACTAAATCCTTTTTTATTTTAAAAAAAAAAGTTTATAATTAATTATGATAATAAAATTAAAATTAAAATTATTTTTTTCATGTGGATTTTTTTCCGAACATTAAAGTTTCAACACCAAATACAAATCTAGATTATTTGCAACAAAAATTCAATTAAGAATGATTGACAACTTACTTGATACACTTTGTTTCTTCAGAGCTCATTTTTTATCAATATAACAAATATCAATAAATTTATTGGATCTTATAAAGACATTATTTTGAAACAAAGTTTAGTATAATTCAATATAAAAATTTAATATGATTTCCAATGATCTTTTTATTTTTTAGCAAATTTACCGATATTTATAGGTAAATTATCCCTTTTTTAACCAATTCACCGGTAAATTTAAAAGTTGATCAAAGCTCCACTCTAATCAATGGTCTAAGCTATTTAGAAGTATTTTTATAATTTTAGTATTTTGCCACAGTCTTGTCCTCTTTTATAGCTGATACTTATAAAGATTTTAAAAACTAGTGATTCCATCATAAAAAATACATCAGAAAATTTTTGTAAATGTTCAGCATGCACTTCTCATTAATATTGGATTGAATTAGCCAAAATTGTACAATAGCTTTGTCTGAAATCTAAAATGGTATCTAAGATGACGTCCAAAATGATATTAGTAACATCTCAACTTAGTAGAACCTCAGCAAACTCAATTCTTGCACTTAGTATTATGTTTTAGAGGTCAAGGAATTCATTTTCAACATTTTTTATTTTTGAGCTAAACAAGATGGCTAACAAAACCTAAGATGGCGGCCAAAGCGATATTAAAAATAGAAATCGACTGCTTTAAAATACTCTTGCAATGTTGGAGTGTCTGCTCATATCCATTTGAGATTAGAATTTATTTGTTGTATCATTATATTACATTTTTTATATATATTGACGTTAATGTTGAAGATTTAATGTATTAATTCTTAACTGTC